TGTGTGTCTGTGTGTGTGTAGAAGTGAAAACAACCCAATTTAATTGCAGCAGATTCATTTTTTGTTGAATAGAAAGTGAAAAGAACTTGAGCAGATGAAAAGATAATAAAGTCATGAGTATAAAAGACGTGGTGACGTGAAGGTTTTCTATCGATTCCTCTTTTATTTTATGAATTCAAGTCGAGTTAAACTGCTTCATCTCAAAACGTAAGAAAGTAAAATGTGACAGAACACAAAGATGATATCAGATGCATCACATTTTCTTATTGTGTAATATGCATGCTGCACACCCCTCATGCACACTCCTCATGCACACCCCTCATGCACACTCCTCATGCACACCCCTCATGCACAGGTACACAATGACTTCTGCCTCCCTGCTAATAACATAGACTGTAAATAAAGATGGACGCCGCGCCTCCACTTCCTCCCAATATCCAGAAATGAAGCCAAAATATCTTGGGCTTTGAGCGCCGCCATCTTGTGCCTCAGCTTGTCAATCATGACAATCCACACAGTTTTTATATCATCAACCAACAAATTTATTAGAAACACTTGAACGAACGTCAGCGGGAAAATGACCTGACGATGAGTCGGTGGATCAGTGAACTGAACCAGTGACTGAAAACAGTCTTCATCACGTGACTGAGGTTACTCACTCCTCCCTCACACACGGAAATCAATACCTCCAATCCTGTGTGTGTGTGTGTGTGTGTGTGTGTGTGTGTGTGTGTGTGTGTGTGTGTGTGTGTTGGTATTGACTGGATAATGTCAGCGTGATATTGGCTGTGAATGCTGTCACATTGTCAGGTTCACACACTTAACCCTGTGTGTGTGTGTGTGTTGTCAGTTACACATCAGTCAATCAGAGTCGAATAACGTCTCAACTCACAAACCATTTTGGTTTTGTTACTTTAATACACATTATTATTTTACTCGCACTTAGCTTTGCTTGTGTGTGTGTTTTCATTTTGTGTTGCCTCACAGAGTGTTCAGCATTTAAAGACTGAATCGTAACGTGCGATTCAGTTTGTAGAAAGTTCAATGATGATAGATTATTAATTCTGTCTTCAGGTACAAACATGAGTTTATGTTGACACTCACTTCACTGGCTACAGCTGCACAGTCTGACGTGTAATCTGCTGTCGTGTCAACACTGAGCTCATAGTTTGTGTTGTGGAGTAAATTATGTCAAGAGGCCGTACGTTCTAGAAAAAACTGAATTTAGCTTTTATTCTTTTCTTTTTTTTTTTAAAATTGACACTGATGTTAAAGCTGCTTTTAGCTCTAGATTATTTCAGGACCAGGGGCTCAACAGTTGCTCCAGACATTTTCTGGATCTTTTCCTGCAGCTCGGAGTAAAATGTCAGAGTGGGTCCATGTTTGGAAACTGTGTGTGTGTGTGTGTGTGTGTGTGTGTGTGTGTGTGTGTGTGTGACTCTAATGGTAATCCAGATTATTTCATTACATGTTCTAAATGTTGGCCATTAACCTCAGTGCTTCTCAGCACAATTAGCTCCCTGCTCTCCTGCCGCCTTATATCAACATCGTGACTGTTTCCAATTACAGCCGCCTCCCTAAATGAAATTAAACATTTCAATATTGCTGATATATTGCCGATATATTACCAGTATTAATTACAGAATCTGTAGCTGTGATCTGTAATCAGAGGAGATGAATCGTGCAGCTCGGCCGCCCGCTCACCCTTCACTCCCTCCCTCGCTCTCCCCAGAGTCATTTGTTAACAAGGTGGCCTTGCTCGGCCTCTCTCTCTCTCTCTCTTCCTCCTCACACACACACACACACACACACACACACACACACACACACACACTCAGAGGGGTGTGGGGCCAGCTGTTAGGGTGTGTGTGTCTAATTCTTGTTGCATTGTGGGAGTCCATTATGCTGTCGTCTGGTGAATGGCTCCCATTGACTCGGCCTTGACATTATAAGCTGCCCGCTAATCTCTTCACTCCATATATTAGTAAGGCTCCATCTCTCTCTCTCTCTCTCTCTCTCTCTCTCTCTCTCTCTCTCTCGCTGCCCATTTCCTCACTTTTATCTTATTTTCTTTCTCTCGCTCTCTGAAATTATTTATTTGAACATCTGTTTTTCTACATTTGCAATTTTTTAAAATATCTTTCTGAGAATAAATGTGGAGATATTCTACATTTTTCATTTTATCTTTCCATCCCACGAAAATGTGCATCGCAGCAATTAATGTGTATTTAAAATCTATTCTTGTCCAGAGCGATAAAAAAAATCCGTCCATTAGTGAAACAGTTCC